TGCTTATCATATGACATTTGAATAAGAAGCTATGATATTAGACGCAGGGACGGTCAGGATGTGTAACGCGTGTCCATCCATCAGTTTCTGTGGCAACTCATGGTGGCTAGAATAAGTTTTGAGAAGACCCGAGCCTGTAGGTTTCCCAAGAAAGTGACGGAGATATGCACCAAATCACCTTATGAAGAGCGCCTCCAATCACTTAACCTATACTCATTGAAGTATAGACGTCTTAGAGGTGACCTATTTACTTACAGGATCCTTAACACTTCTGGACATTCTCTTAAACACCTACTTGAGCTTAGTCCTAAAAACTAGAGACACGACATAGCAGAATGGACTGTAGACGTAACTTGTACTCCTTAAGAGTTGTCAGGTGCTGGAATTCGCTGCCCGCCGAACTAGTCCAAGCGACTTCCCAGGAGTCCTTTGGGAGGCGACTGGATCTTTTATTGTTAACATACCTAGGTTCCTGCTTGGAGGTTTTGGTGATCCCCTGCTACTAGACACGGAAGCCTGAACACATGAATTAGGTGATAAGAGGCTCGCTTATCACAAGTTTCTTGCAACGATTAAGTATGTAAAACAAAGTAGCATTAGGTTCAAAAATTTATTCAAGAACTTTCATTAAGAATCCAATATGAAACAAAGGTTTAAACCAAGTTCCAGTCTAAAAGTTGCATTTGTAATGTTAAGCTGCAGTTTTTGTTGTTTTTCCAAACGAAAGGGTAAAAGAAGTAACTCGGAAAGCACTGGAAGTGGTTGTGAGATTAAAATGAACATCCAGCATCCTTTTTATAATCTGCCGTTAGTTGGGTCTCCCGTAAACAGATCCATAGGGCCATAGTTCTAAGGGCGAAACAGTTCTTAGGATCTGTGAAGACTCAGTCTTGTTGCATTCTAAATGAGAAAATAGTAGTGAATTTAGTCAGAAATGTGGAATAGATAAATAACCAAATTACATGTTTTTTAGCAAAGAATTTATGCAGTTGTGATTTACCTTTAGTTTATGAATATTAGGTCAGGTCAGCTATTACTTGTGCAAAGCATAACATGGACTTAATACCGTATCTCAATGCTTTCATTATTTTGCTCTCATTTAAGTATTACCATGTATCTGCATCTAGTTTAACAGGGAGACGTACAAGCAGAGTTAGTGTTTGATGAACTAAAAGTCCTAGTTGTCAAAAAGATTCTTAACATTTGTCCACAGCCAACTGCATTTAATTGAGATACAGAACACTCATCTTCTAAGACTGTATACTGCTCTTCTGTGGGCAAATAAAAGCTCACACACTTAGTTATCCTGCTACCGATGTTATTGCTGGGGAAATTGTTTAATGACAGTGATCATGAAATATGGTCAGTGATAGATGTACAATCTAGAAATAAACAAACATACTTATCGCTATCTTATAATGTATGACAGCAACAGTACCAAAAGCACTTTTTTCCTATTTTTAATCAGACTGATTTGAATCAGTATACTCATCAGAAATAGGCAACTCTACTTACTAGGCTGATCTGTTTCGTTACAGACTTCAAGCACTATACCATAATTCTTTCAACTAAACTGAATTACACGACAACCAAGAATATTAAACTAAGCAAGTGTCATAGTTATTGTTTCATTTGCACAGGCATATTGCTTAAAGTAGTTAAATGGACATAATTAAGACGATAAAACAAAAACACGAAATATAGGCCAATTGAACTTACCGAACAGAAGACAAAGAATATATATATTGCTTTCCGACTGAAAACAACAGGTAGTTGTTCATAAAAACATAGTTTATAGTACAATAAACCTTTCTACAGTAAAATCATGCACTGACAGTCTATCTGGAAACAATCAACTATGTGAATAAACTCACTATGACTTGAGATATCATCCCAGCATGCAATGGACGTGCAGTGTAACGCAGTCAAACGTGGCGAATAAAAATATAAAAAAAAGATCAAAATTAGCTATATAATCTAGTTATATAATTAAAAATACATTATGAAACGACAAAATCTGTGGTTACTTGAACGCACAGATGACCGGTACATTAAGTTTACATGGTTGCGTTGCGGATAAGATCACCCAACATAGGCCATCGAGCCTCATGTCCTTCCCAAACTGAAACTGAAACTGAAACTGAAATATTGCCCTTCTAATAAGGCGCGTATATTAATCTCACAAATGGTCGTTACACGTATTTTCATATACTCTTATGTATTTATAGGTTTTAAAAAGTTTTCCCATGTACATCCTTTGATAACTACAGCAGTCGTTTTATGGATCTGCGTAATTATCTATTTGAGTTTCAATTTCTTCAATTTGGAAAGTGGTGATCAGCAAAGTTTAGCTTGTCCAAACTTACTGGATGTAATTACTGGTTTAAAATCGCAAGTCGATGTTGGGTCGGTAAATTTAAGGATGTTTCTTACGTCGTATAATGATAAGTTAGTTATAGTTTTTAAAATTAATCAATCTTTCACTAAAGCTTTATTCTTATTCAGGCACTTGAATTGATCCACTTAATTATATATTTTGCATTTACTTATAATGTAGAAAAGAAAACTAGTAAAATCGAGATGGGGAGGGGTAAGAGACGTCACGTTAATATCATATTGTGTTGAATTTAACTCCACAATCCATAGATGGTGAGCAAATTCTGAGGACTTCACTAAATCCTGGTGAACATTGGCACTAGGTCTAGAAACAACACAGGCAATTCCTGATTGGATTCCTGTCGATAGTTGCTTATATCGTGTCCGTCTTGATAGGGTAGCAAGAAGTTGGAGACATAATAGCACACACTGTTGCCTTTTCATCGTTTCTGCATACATTCTCAGCAACTGCAGCTTGGTTCCAGTGAAAGATGCGCTTGCTAAGCGCTTGGACGTCATAGTTGTAGTAGACCCAGATCGGCAAACTAAGGCCAACTGGGAAGCAGATGTGTCTTTTATTGTCTCAGCCTAACGATAACCGTCTGTCTTATTTATAATAATGATTCTTGACGGACACAAACTTCAAGCATAAAGAATCATTGTCTAACCTGGAAACCTCCACTACTAGAAGGGCTTGATTAAAGGCTGTCACTTCTTTAGGAGTGCATGCTTGGACTTCTGTCATTACCGTAGTGAGAGCACGCATTTCTATGAGTCTTTAGATGTAGGACATTCACATCCAAAAGAGGCCTTATGGATCATGTCGAAGATTGAAACGTTGAGGGTACGTTTAGGGGAGGACTAGTTAAGTAATTAGTTGATTGTATTGAGACAGTGTACGTTAAAGAGGTTTCGAATCATGTCCAAGCGTCTATAAATACTTCAGTAGCATCTACCAGCAACTTAAATCAAGGTTTAGGAAAAACCAGTGGGTTTTGATGGTATTTCTTAAACTGACATGTTCTAAAACTCATCCTGTTAAACTTGAAGAATGGTATTGAAGCTCGATAACGAGAAGCTTACCCAACGATCATAAGCAGTGGTAGACAACGAAAGCCAAAGGGATGGAAAAGAGGCACAGTAGGTAACTCTAGATAAATATCGCGACTCATTAATGAGACAAATATATGAAAGTCCTTATTCAAATCCCAAGAAAAGCAGTAGTTATTCACTCCCAGTCCATAGGATTAGACCGATTGGTAGAGCACTTTAGATAATACTTCAAATGAACTGCAGTTGCGCATTATTTTCAAACGACATGCATGAGAACCTGACTTACATTTCTCAACACTTGAGATTGAAAAGCCTACAGGGAATTTAAAACAAGGGTAGGCAGTATGGTTTGATGGAGTAACGCTGGAGATCTTCAAGGATAGTGGTCCAATTGCAGTTATCAGACCCACAAACACTAGCTAGAGATTGAGAGCTTGACTTATTCCCATCCGTCTGGTTTCGACCAGTGATCGTTATGATTAGGGAGAAAGGACAAGTATCGTCTTCGACAACCACAGTGGAATCAGTTTGACTGATGTAGTGTCTAAAATACTAGCCTCCACAATCTAACACTAAACTAAGGTTCGCGAAACGAAAACTCTGGAGAACCAGTTGATTTAAGCTTGGCTGTGGATGTTTTGAACAAATGTTTGCTCTTCGTTAATATTTAGAAAAACGATGTACTTTTTGCCCCCGAAACAGTTTTCTTTCTTGACCTCAAGACGGCATTTGACTGTTGATTGAAAGGCTTCGTAACCAAAGAAGTACATTAACCTTGCTCGTGTATGTTGGTATCACCGAATGAGGAATGTTATAATTAGGCATAGACTACGAGCTAAGGATGCCAAATGGATTGATGAGATAATAAGTTGTCATCCGCTAAGGTGATTGGTACATGCGTTGAGAATACCTAACCATTGCATATTTCGATAGACGATGCTGTGCAGTTTTGTTAGCGGGACATAGACTGGATTAAAGCATGCTCAATGCACGATTGCTTTTGTGCACGCTGATTGGCTGATTCTTATCCAATCAACACTAGTCGATATTTGGAGAATACTTTAGAATCTTCTCATGTAAAAACTATAAATATACTAACGTTCTCCCTATTGTGCTTCTTACTTGCTTCTTACTTCCATCTAACCTTGTTATTTGGAATATAATCTCTTTCCTGTTCAACCGTGTTCTGATTTGGGGACTTGTCGAGTGAATCGGTGTCTGAGAATACTGAGCAATAGGAATAGCTTGGTCATAACACTAAGAAAGGGATTATAACTAGTTTATAATTAGGACAAAAGAAAACCAGGGGTGGTTAAACCAAAATATGCAATTAGTCCATGAAGGGATTGACTATTGTACTGAGCCACGTAGGTAAGTACAGATTACCTGGTTTTGGTCCGCGTGGTAACTGCTGCTCCCAGTATCCTCCCACATTTCCCTTTCCGCTGACATTTCGTGCCTTGTTTTCAATGTTTGGTATATTTCGTTGTCATTTTTGCCATATTATTTTGATCTCTTGCTTTTCATCCTATGCTAATGGTATATGACAACTAGACATTGCACATCTGTCCGAGGCTCTTTGTTAATGATTGACTGAAAAGTGAACCAGCTATTTACTTTCGCCTGTTACCCCTTGTGGAGCTATCAATCAATGAATATATTCAGTAATCCTATTTAAAAATTTGTCTTCAAATGCTGCAATATGTTTTCATATTTTAAAAGATATCAATAATATGAATTATAATAATAGAATTTTCCGATTAATTTTATTTTTTCTGCAATAGAAACAAAAAAGAAAATACTATTGTAGAAAGAGGTAAGTTGTGTATGACAACTTCTGGTATTGACTAGATATTTTCCATATAGAACACTATGAGCTTTAAATCATTAATTACATGATCTTAATGGTGTATCATACTTGCTACTGTTTTTAGTTCACCCTTAAACATTTTAATACCAACTGAAAATAATTCCTTATTGGGAATATTCATTTTCTGGGCTATAAGTATTCCCTGCATAATGTGTCAATATATCATGATACATTTACCAGTATATTCCGGTTGAATCTTATGTTTATGGGAAACACTGATGTATGAGCGAGGAATATTCTTAATAAATTCGCTTAAGCTTGTACAATTATATATTCAAATTAACAATTCGAAAATTAGCTACATTTAAGGTAATTACATCGTTTAAAATTATAACATGTGAATCCAAGGCTAATGTTCAAGTTGCATGGAGCGATTCAAAGAACCTTTAGCGTAGGGGGACTACAATTAATGCTTTCTACACGTTCGATGGTCACTCCAAGATTGAAGAATAGATTACATAGACTAATCATCTCTTTATGTGTATGTAAATTCAAGTGCTCTTGTGGAGCAAATTATATTGAGAGGTGTCATAAGAATTTGTACATTAAACGTGGTTAATTTTCGTATTATGAATTTGAATATATAATTGTATAAGCTTAAGAGAATTTATTGAGAATATTCTTCGTTCTTATATCTGTTTTAAATATGGTGGGAATTTTTCAGCGAATAGAATGTAATCAACCCATTGCACTGAAGACACTCAACTAGTTCCTTGAGTATAGTGTAAAGGTCATAGAGACAAAAATATTGGAATTTGTGGGAAACTTTGTTGGGTTAGGTTAGTATCCTAAACTATTTTTTAAGTCATTACTCCTTAATTAGATTCATCTAGAGAGATAAGCATTAAAACGTCATGCATTTTACCAAATCGATACATTCAATGCTATTTATTTATTAGTTATTTATTTGAGCACATAAATATTGGTACAAGAGTGCGCCAAATATGTATGCGCCAAACAAACAATGATAATCTAAAGAGAAGGAAAAAAAGGTAAGGAGCGTAAAAAAACAATGACGAAGAGATTGGCGTAAGGAGGTGTAGTAATAATAATGGCGGACCGGAAAGGTACAATCAAAAGAAATCTTTCAGTTAAGGAACATACAACCACTTTTTACGAAAAAAGTAAAAGAAGGCTACAGCAGGATCGCCACTGGCTTCTATTCTGAGCCATATCTAGTAACGTCTCTAGCCACTGTGTAGCACCATCTCTCGGATCCCAGCCAACGAGTAATGAAAGACCAACACAAGCCAGCCCTTTGCAGCTTTCATTCATACCACGACACTATGTCATAAACTGACCACCTCTCCGCTTTTTCCAACCAGTCCCAGCGTCGGCAAGTAATGCACGATGAGGAATTCTCTAGGACGACATTCGTAGGACATGTCCAAGCCGCCAAAGTCGATGTTTCAAGATGGTGACACCAATTGGACTATCGTCTCCGCACCCGAACACACGATGCCGAACCTCTGCATTACTAACATGGTGCTGCCACTGGATGTTAGCAATCCTTCGGAGACAACGATAATCAAACACAGGGAGTCGTCTAACATCCTCAACTCGGAGAAGCCAGGTTTCACAAGCATGGAGCAAAACTGCTATCATCGACGCGTTGTAGATCCGACCTTTTACAGCCAGACTGACATCAAGAAGGCGCCAAAGATGGACCAGATTGGCATAAGCCGCTCTGGCTTTCATTATACGTGAATCGATCTCATCACTCACGCCATCACCAGCACTTATGCAGCTACTCAGATACACGAACTTCTCGACTACTTCTATCTGTTCACCATCCAGGGTGAGTACAGGATTAGAATCCTGCCAGTCTTGTAGAAGTACTTTGCACTTCGAAGGTGCAAAGCACATATCATACCTATGGACACTGATTACCAACTGATTAAGTGCGGATTGCATGCCTTGGGCATTGTCGCACAGAAAGACAACATCATCCGCATACTCAAGGTCAATAAGTATTTTCCAGGCAACTGATCCACACCGCCATTACTTAGATCCATCAGAACTGTTTCCAGAATGTCATCGATGGCAAAGTTGAAGAGGAATGGTGAGATCGGGCAACCATGCCTAACCCCACTGCTCGAATGGAACAATGGCGATAGTTGGTTGTATGCCCTCACTCTGCTTGAAGTGTTTGTATATAGGGCTTGGAGGATGTTAATAAGCTTCTCAGGCACACGCTTCTTTAAAAGACAATCCCAGAGAACAGTCCTTTTCAATGAATCAAAGGCGACCCTACTGTCAAGAAACACTACGATTGTTGGCTTTTGATAAGTATGGCGATGTTCTAACATTTGGCGGAAGGTGAAGATATGATCAATACATCCTCGACCAGAACGAAACCCAGCCTGCTCCTCGCGAGTCAATCATTCTCGGGTTTTGAACAACCTACGAAGTATGACGGAAGCCAATAGCTTGAATGCAATCGGAAATAGACTTATTCCCCGATAGTCGTTACAGGAACGAAGTAAACCCCTTTTAAAGATAGGGACAACTATCGACTCATTCCATGACGATGGTACACTCTCTAATTCCCAAACCTTTGTAAACAAGGTCGTCAGTTCCTTAGCCAGAAAGTCACTACCATCTTTAAAAAGGGAAGGGGGTGAGTCCTCTGAGCCCGGTGATTTGTAGCGCTCCAAGAGTTGGAGTTCCTTATGGACTTCCACCTCATTTGGTGGATCAGTAGTCATCGGCCATGGAGGACAGGACAGTCTGACCGATGTTACCGCATCAGCAGGCCAGTTGAACTGCCCTTCGAAAAATTCTGCCCATCGTACAAGACGTCGATGGATGCTAGTGATTGGCGTTCCGTCATCCTCGCAGATTGTTTCGCTCACACCTGACTTCTTGCTGCCAGTGACTCGGATGAGTTGGAAGAGCTTCCGGTAGTTACCAAATGCAGCTGCTGCTTCCAGCTCATTAGCACGCTCCGACCACCAGGCTTCTCGGTCCTTACGCAAGTTTTGCACAATTTCATTACGTAACAGCTTTCGTTTGTGGTCAAACTCACGGTCACACGGAGTAGACCTACGGGCTTCGATGAGTTGTAAGGAGCCTAAAAAAACCTAGTGCTTATAAGCGGTATGTTTCGCGAAGCCGCAAGCGACTTCACTCGCCATTTACATAGCGCCATGCAATTGCAACCAATGCTCATCTATGCTTTTCGGTGGAATGGTAGCTGGCCTAGAAACTAGATCGGTTGGATACTTACTTGCAACAGAAGTTGCAACCAACTTGCTGACATCAATCCTTTAGTGACGATCACTGCGTTGGCCACTGAAAGTAAGATAAGATTAGCGCAGACCAAGGCATATTCAGAGTCCATATAGGTACTCCAAAATGAGCGCAGTCTTGTAAACAACCTCGCCAGCGGTAGTTGATCGCGATGTGATCAATCTGAAGGAGGACGTCAGTTGGTATATCGGCGATGACTGTGCCGAAAGTTAGTGCTAGCCAGAAACAGGTTGTGGTCTGCGCACAGTTGCAGTAGACGGTCCCCGTTATCTGTCCTGCGACCAACAAGTCCCCATCGGCCAACTAAACGGCTCTCTTCTGTGCCTAGACGCCCTACCTGAGCATTCAAGTCTCCGGCTAGTACTACAATATCTGTCGGATGTATTTTCTGTAGAACAACACTCAACAGGTGGTAGGCTTATCCTTGATCGCATTCGGATTGCAATATGTCGGAGTGTAGGCAGAGATGACGAAAGCACATCATTTCTCATACCGATTTCTGCTCAATTTGATGGAGCTTTCCAATTTAATAGGACATAACTGACTGTTAATGGGGATCCAATAATGATTTGAAGGAGATAGCAATAAACATTGTTCGCAAAGAATTTTGCTTTTAGTGGACTAACAAAGGCCTTATGTCACAGATTATTGATCACATTGCAGAGATATTTAACCAGAGATCGGAGAACTTCTGAAAAGCCTAAGAAATCTACCAGTCGAAAATAAATTTCCCACTAAACGTAATATGTACCTTCATAATTTTTCTGGTACGAAATTAAACAAAGGGAAACTTGGAGTTTTAGCCCTAGGCTTAAAGTTTTATGGTACATGCAACGGAAATTCAGTTTTAAGACAGGTTTTCAGACATCAGATCTAGTTCCGACCACCGATTAAGAAATTGAACGTTTTGAATCAAATCTCGATTGTTGCTATAAGTTTAAAAACAGTGAATATAACTAAGAAACCATTTTAGTAAAAAAAAAACACATGAAGGCTATCGATGAACTCATTAAAGAGGAAAATGTTATTATTAAAAGGCCAGGTGAAGGAACAGGAACTGTCTTAGCTAAAAACTGTATTGACAAGACTAACATCTTGACTGATCACGTAAAATCCTAAAAACTGAATGACCACAAATACATCAGTAATAAGATAGAAAATAAACAGACCAGATCTGTGTAAAAGTTCAAATGACAACATAATTTCACCAAGTATATACGAACCAGTTAAGCTGATAAGCACTCATTCACAAAAGTTATATTGATTACCGAAGGTACGTATACCAGATATCCCATTGTAACCAATTCTGGGCATGTACGATTCCCCTTATCATACTGTAATAAAGCTGTTAGTAACCATTTTAAAGCCACTCCATAAATATCTAATGAAGGATGTATTCCAGTTCGTCGACAAGATCAGGAACAAACTAAAGAACAAAAGATAATGTCTTGTGACGTAACATCATTGTATACAAATGTCTTACTCATGAAAACTGTCGAATATATCTGTGAACAACTTAGAAAACTAGAACTAGAAACTACAATCCATCTGGGCATCGTTAAGGAAATATTACTAAACTGTAATATGAACGTAAACTTCAAATTCAATGGTGAAATCTATGGCCGAATAGATATTGTCACACTAGATTCACTACTAGGTCCCGTACTGGCTGACATTTTTCTCACTATACTAGAAAACGGTACACTGGCACGGCTTAATGGCAAGTGCTCATTTTCCTGCCGACATATGGATGATACGTTGTAAAGACCATACTAACCGGGTATAGGGTGAAAGTAGCGTTCAAGCAAGCTTTTACCCTAGAAATTTTAAGTATGACGAGCAATAACACATCAAGAATATTCGTGTAAAGGTTATTCAGTGTGTGTTAGCGGGGCATATAGTGGATTAAATCATGCTCAATGCACGCTTGCGTTGGCGCACGCTGATTATCTAATTCTTATCCAATCAGCTCTAGTCGATATTTGGAGAACACTAGAATCCTCTTATGTAAAAACTATAAACGTACTAATGTTTCTCCTATTGTGCTTCTTACTTCAATCTAACTTTGTTATTTGGAATATAATCTGTTCAACCGTGTTCTGATTTGGGGACTTGTCGAGTGAATTGGTGTCCGAGAATATTAAGCAATAGGAATATCTGGGTCGTAATAAGAGAGAATTATAACAGTATGTTTATCGGTATTACTCTTTTATTTTACTTATTCTCATAGTTGGGATACATGGTATGTCATATGAAATCTTACGTCGTCGTGCTTTGCAGTATGCTCGTGAAATCAAGTATAATCTTGTTCAACTTGATAATGTGAATATGAAAATAAAAACTATTAAAAACTACTCTTTAATCGAACCGTTAAAAGAAGCGCAAGTCTCACTGGAGCGATTAAAAAGTCAGTTACAAGATATTTCATTACACTTACACGTTGATATTGATGGGATTGGACGAGTTGACGGTGTGTTGGAATCACGAATGAATTATCTGGAATATTTATCAAATGAACTTCAAAGTGAATTATTCCAATTGCAGGTTGGTTGTACGTTAAATAATATTGTGTGTTATTATTTTGAGCTTTATAACAACTCTTCATAACTGTGACATTAGGCTGTTTTACCTATGGTGATTATATTAGGACTACGAAGTTATACTTACCCTTAATTCATGGAGTGTGATTTGAAAATGTGACGTAATGTCTGAACTAACTAACTACAACTCTGCACATTTTAAAACTAATGCCCTGTTCATATTGAACTCGTTAGCAGCATACGACAATCACTACCTTTTGTTGTTGGAAATTGTGGATGCTTCTGGTCTTCCATAACCTTCCCCTAAATAAATGTGTGGAAATTGACGTCAGATAACCTTGTAAACCTAAAACCATACTTCTAAATTCCACAATTCAGAATTGTATTTTATTCTGCTTCTTTTACACAGGTTGTTTAAAGACACTATTTGTTTCTCAGTATTCATATTTAATAGATAACATACCACTCGGGAATTAAATAGGATTATTTTATTCATCTACAATTTTATTTTCTCAACCGTAGGCTCATTTTTTCGAATGGGATATTAATCTTTTCGACTTGTGACCTTATAAGTACATAAGTTATTTCGGATCTGTGTTAATAGGTACACAAAATTTGCTGTTTTGTTTCGTCTGTAATTGACCAATTTTTCTGAGCCAAATATATTTTTGCGATCTATTACTTTTTGGTGCTACACAAATTGTAAACCATAAAATAGGATAGTTAGCAAAGATTAACAAGGTAAGGAACCATAAATCATGAGTTAAAAGTCTCTAGTTCAACTAAAAAAATATGAAAAATAGATGGAAACAAGTTCAGAAAAGAAATTGAATAAAAATGTCTATTCACAGCCCCAATAAACTGATGAATGTATGTTGTAGATCTATCAGTTTACTTTTCTCATTTGTATAGTGCATGTCATCAGTATTCAATTTCCGTATTCTTATTTTTAAGATGCTGTTAATCTTGTCTCATTAGATGATTGATCAGATTAATTAGAATATTGATCGGTGGTTTATTGACTTTAGCTCCTGAATTTCATTTGTTGGGGACTGATGAAATCTCGGAATACATTGAGAAAGCCTGCTTAGCTTTTGTAAATTTGCGTAGGAAAGGTGACCATCTTTCAACCGTGGAGGAGGATAAACTGCTCATCACTCCGCTCTTACTTTATAGCTTTGGGACTTGGACTAAAAGGGTAGGGGACAAGCAATGTGATCATAAGTGACGCCAAAGTATCGGTTGCGTATCGTAAGCAATGCCTTCATTATACATCAAATACTGGGCAGTTATATCAAGTTGGTTGATAGTTCTGTGAATTTTTATCGACTGAAGGGGTTAAAGAGTATAATCTACTCATTGCTTTCCTCGATGTCCATTGATGGCTGCGATAGGAGCAAGTTGGAAAAAAGCTAGAAGCGATCAATCCAAAATATAGTATCAGTCTCTATCATCATTTACTGTTTTCTAGGCACCTTTCATAGATCCACGTTACCTGGTTGGGGTTCAAGTGATTAATAATTAATGTAAATAAATAGTATATTGGTAATATCCCAATGAATGGAAAAATTAGATTTTCTATTCATTGGGATATTACAAGTATACTATTTATTTATAACAATCTACCCAATGCTCAGTTTATTCGAAATTATCAAATCAAACCTTGGTAATGATACCTATGATAATTAATGGTTTGGCGTGTCATGTCTCAAAACTGCTAGCGGTGATTCAGATACACTTAATGTTTATTTTACTCTATATTTTGGCTTCATATATTCTTTTATACGTAACTCATTTCGATTCATTCAATTCCGGCCGCGTTTTCAGTATTTAGTCCTTTTCACCATTAATGATACTATCATTACTTCGTCCTTTTTGCTATTCAGCTTATTACTTTCGTTTTGTCAATCAGTTAATCATATGCAACATAAAGCCTCACATGTATATGCATCGACCCAAGTTGTTCCACCACATTAGCACAGCGAAATGAAATTATCAACGCGAATCACAGAACAGTAAAAGTATTTATTGTGATGAGCGGTGTCCGAAATCTGATACTGATACACGGTGTGCTACGTTTATGATTTTATTTATTTATTTAAACATAAAGATTGGTACATGGAGGCACCAAATATATTTGCATCACACAAATCATTCGATTTGTGAGAGGGCTGGAATACTGCCTGGACACCCAATCCGAAGCAGGTGGTTTCCTTAGAAGGACACACCGAGACATTTAAATAAAGGTCTAATCCACAAGGCAGTAGAGCAACGTCAGGAGATGCAGTTCTATGGTAGCTAGTGACCATTTGGTTCATACGCCATTTGTTCCTAAAGGATCCTGGAGCCCATGTGCACCATTGGTTTTGAATCAGGGTTTTCCAACTTCTCTAGGTGGATCCTCAGTGTCCAGCAACCCGATTAAGAGCGCCGAAAATTTTCTTTTCGTCCTCTCAATTTCATAAACAACAGTAATACCGCGAGAAGGCAATGAGTAGTACTTCACTGTCAGCGTCTGTATACTCCTGGTCACGTGAGCGCATTTCGTGAGGTAGAGAGGACTCCTCATTCGGGGCGCTAACCCCCCAACTAACCACTTGAGTGAGGGCACAAGAGTGGGCGAGAAAGTGTATTGGGCTACCGAATAAAATGCACAAATACTCACTCATATATATTTACCACTCTAATATTTATGAAATTGATCCATTTCCTAGGCAATGAAGTGCACTTGTCGTTTAGGTCACTTCTGATTGGCTCTCTATACCAGTATTAACATTATCAGTTGTAGTTGTAGTAGGAAAAATTAAGTATAATAACAGAAAAGGAGTAGAAAAAGATTTCGAGATTCAGAGTCTAAGATGAAACTAAAAGTGAATATATCTTTACTGAATGTATCATATTATCATTGGCACTATAAATAATAATCGCTAGGCCCAGCCAAACCTAAACGTGATATCAGTCCATGAAGTCACTAACTATTGTACTGAGCTATGTAGGTAGGTGCAGAGTACCTGGTTGAGGTCCACATGATAACCGCGATCAGTGTTTGAAGATGTCGAATGCCATAGCACAGAATCAATCGCAATAGCAAAGTTTAGTAGATTTGAATTTGTATTTCACTGTTAAAAAATTCTGTACAGTAATCTATGATTTATATACTAATATATTTAATTAATTAATGAGAGTTTATTTATATTCTACTTCGTTTATTTTGTAATTGTTTTGTTTACAGAATCCCTCAAGTTGTACAAAAGCTAAATATGTGGTTGCCTCGTTTAATAGACATTGTGCATTCGGTTGTAATGCCCATCATTTAATGTATTGTTTCCAAATGGCCTATGCAACTGGGCGTACATTAATCTTGAATCCTACTGATGGGGAGGAATACACACACTGGTGGATAAAACACTTTTTGCCATTATCTCAGAAATGCAGTATAAATGATATTCAATCAAATATCCATTCTGATTGTAAGCTTTCTTTAAAAAATATTTATAGTTCCAGTGTAATCTTGCCGTTCTTCATTTATCTTAAGAATTATGCTAGTGTGATGTGGTGCGACAATATCCATTTTGTTTGATATCAATACACAAAAGATTTGTTTCTGCAAATAACTTATCTGTTTACAAATGACATCTTTCTTATGACTTACTTAGGCCTACTATGCCTCTTGAGCTCTAGGCTTCTGAAAGAGATCTCCAAAGTTCTCTTTCATATGGTCTCTTACTCAGTTGTTCCGAAGTCGTATTGATGATTTTAGTGTCTCCTTCCAGTTACCAGTGCCCCCGAATGCCCTGGTATGGCCGAGAGTGGGGTGGGCCCGTCCTCCCTCTCGAAATTCTCTCACACGGCCACGCGTATACAGCCTCTGTCAGGGAAGTCCTATTCATTGCCTTCTCGTGGCGGGGCTGTTGTTTGCGAAATTAAGAGGACGAAAATCGATTGTCCGGCGCTTTAACTGGATTCCAAACCAACGGTGCACCTGGGCTCAAGTATCCTGCGGGAACAAATAGCGTATGAACCAATCGTTGGTCACCGGCTACCATGGGACTGCATCTCCTCACGATGCTCCATTGCCTCGTGGGTCAAACCTTTAGGTCCAAGGCTCGGGTTGTGGCCCCCTAAGAAAACCACCTGCTTCGGTCTGGGCACCCGGGCAGTATCCCAGCCCTCACACAAATCGAATGATTTATGTGGCGCATATGTATTTGGTGCCTCCTTGTACCAATGTTTATGTGTTTAAGTAAGTAATAAATACAGTTACCAGTGCCATATGTCCTTTGGTCTGCTTAATCCCCTTTATTTTTCTCTAATTTGGCCCTCCATTGGATTTTTGATTCGGTTCAACAACAATGTTGATAACCTTGTCTGGTACTGAAAGTGGTATGGCACTTCTATGGTTTTCACACTTATTAAAACCTTTTTTGTTTGTTATCTTAATAAGGTTTTCCTCTTTCCATTCCTTCTGTACTTGTTCTTCTTTCCAGGTCTTTCAGCAGAGAATATAAAATATTCTTGGGGTTAGCTCTACATCTACAGGGTTCTCCATAGTGTTATCCAGTGAAACTCAAGTAGCTTTGTGCATAGATTTACGGGGGTAAATGCTTCTACGTAGGACCATGTTGTCGAAGTACAGAAATTCACTATTGTCTCATTCTCTTTTCTTCCCTTCAGTCCATGTCGCCTCATGATGTTTTGATGCCCGTCGTTGTCTACTCCGTCTTTAATGATTAGGTCTCCCGTCTGAATGGTCAGGTCTTTTCTTAGTAAACTGAAGCCTCATGAAATTGGCTTTTATTATCTTTGCTGCCACCATTGGTATTGTTAAGTGTGAAGTAGTACTGGGAGACATTCATTGTGATCTTTTCATTCTTCATTTTGAAGGATAGTTTAATGATCCTGAAGCCTTGAGTCTCTTATTCTATAAGCGCTTTTAGTGTTTCTTTGGAGGACAAGATCAAAGAAAGGAAGAACAAGAAGGCAGCAATAAACAACAGCCAAACACGAGCAGAGAAAGTCCAAGCACAAGCTGAATACATAGAAGCAAACAAACAAGTGAAGAGAAGCATTAGAGCCGACAAGAGGAAATACGTGGAAGAACTAGCAACGACGGCAGAAAAAGCTGCTAGAGAAGGAAATATGAAACAGCTTTACGATACAACGAAGAAACTATCAGGGAAATACAGTAAACCAGAGAGACCGGTCAAAGACAAAGAAGGCAAGCCAATCACCGAAATTCAACAACAGCGGAACAGATGGGTAGAATACTTCGAGGGACTCCTGAATAGGCCGGCTCCAACGAATCCACCGGACATCGAAGCGGCACACACAGATCTTCCCATAGACGTCAACCCACCAACGAAAGAAGAAATCAGAATGGCCGTCAGACAAATCAAGAACGGGAAAGCAGCGGGACCCGACAACATACCAGCTGAAGCACTGAAGTCAGACATCGAAGCAACTACAAACATGCTTTACCATCTATTCAAAAATATTTGGGAAGAAGAACAAGTGCCGATGGACTGGAAAGAAGGACACCCCGTCAAGATTCCAAAGAAAGATCTGAGCAAATGTGAAAACTACAGAGGCATTACACTGCTGTCAATACCAGGGAAGGTCTTCAACAGAGTGTTGCTGAACCGGATGAAAGACGCAGTAGACGCCCAACTTCGAAATCAACAAGCTGGATTCCGTAAGGATCGGTCGTGCACAGACCAAATTGCAACACTACGGATCATCGTCGAACAATCAGTTGAGTGGAACTCATGACTATACATCAACTTCATTGATTATGAAAAAGCATTCGACAGTGTAGATAGGAGGACATTATGGAAACTTCTTCGACACTATGGAGTTCCTGAGAAGATTGTCAACATTATCCGGAACTCATACGACGGACTACAGTGCAAAGTCGTGCATGGAGGACAACTGACAGATGCATTCCAAGTAAGGACCGGAGTCAGACAAGGCTGTTTACTCTCTCCCTTCCTCTTTCTTCTGGTGGTCGACTGGATTATGAAGACCTCGATATCTGAAGGTAAACACGGAATTCAATGGAGAGCTCGAAATCAATTAGACGATTTGGACTTCGCAGATGACCTAGCCCTCCTATCACGTACACACGAACAGATACAGACAGCCAGTGTAGCAGCAGTCTCTGCATCAGTAGGCCTCAGCATACACAAAGGGAAAACCAAAGTCCTCAAATTCAAAGCGGAAAACAACAATCCAATCACTCTTGATGGCGAAACTCTGGAAAATGTAGAGTCCTTCACATAACTAGGAAGCATCATCGATGAACAAGGAGGTTCAGATGCAGACGTAAAGGCAAGGATTGGCAAAGCAAGGACAGCATTCCTACAGTTAAAGAACATATGGAACTCAAAACAACTTTCAACCAATATCAAAGTGAGAATCTTCAATACCTACGTCAAGGCAGTTCTACTGTATGGAGCTGAAACTTGGAGAACTACAACAACCACCATCAAGAAGGTACAAGTATTTATAAATAGCTGTCTACGCAAGATACTCAACATCCATTGGCCGGATACTATCAGCAATAGCCTTCTGTGGGAGAGAACAAACCAACTTCCAGCTGAAGAAGAAATTAGGAAAAGACGATGGAAATGGATAGGACATACATTACGCGAATCGTCAAACTGTGCATCACGAGGCAAGCGTTAACTTGGAATCCTGAAGCGAAGCGAAAAAGAGGAAGGCCAAAGAACACATTGCGTCGGATAATAGAAGCAGATATGAAAACGATGAATTACAACTGGACGGAGCTAGAAAGGATTGCCCAGGACAGGGTTGGATGGAGAATGCTGGTGAGCGGCCTATGCTCCTTCATGAGGAGTAATAGGCGTAAGTAAGTAAGTAAGTTGGAGGGGTTTAGTGCCAAATCTTTTTATTTGATTTATTATTTATGACCAGACTGCAGAATCTCTCTTGAAGTTAGTCTTTCTTGTCCAGATTATTTTTGATGAGTTTCATCTATTTCAAGCAATACCAGGCTGCATTTTCTCATTTCTACGGCTATTGGAATGAGCCTTTTTGTCTTCTACATCGCTTGTACATTCTATATCATATATATTTTTGCTTTTGATAGAGTAGGTAAAAGGAACACTGGCATTGTGACCCTCAAAGTCGCGGGTTTCACTACGAAGTGTCGTAACTCCTATTAATCAAGACCGAGTTCCGGAGCAGTTTAGTCAGTTTAACTTATTTACTCTAGTTAGGTTATTTTTGTCTGGTTTCGTTTTACGAGGTTGTGTTGCTTACCCTACACCGTAACCTTCTTCACCTGAGATTGGGATCGGTAGTAATCCTAGAAGTGTTGCAAACGCAGTTATCTTCCTGATGGATGACGAATAAAAAGTACTTTGAAATGTTTAGCTAAAATATCCAACTAGTGTTTTCCATATTGACAGTGAAAAAATCCTATGTTTATACACGATACCCCAGAGTGCCAGTTCTTAAGGGAACTAAGAAAACACTTTCGGTTCCCCATCTTCCCACTTTGAGTAATTGAAAAAACCCAAACATAAGCGATTAACATATTATGGAAGTCCATGTACCGGAACACACCATTGTCTACTCAATGTTGTACTTTCTGGTTTGTAATTCAAATGACGATAACTACTAGAAAAAAATATTCTTGCTTCAATTAGCATTCAGACAAATTACATTCACAGTCATTTGATAGCATTCATTTTCATTTTTTAATATACTACATCACTTATCTACTCTCTTCTATTCTCAATTTGTGTATTCTTACATTTCAACTTATACAACAGCTCGCCTGTGGTGAGTATCTGTTCTACCACCGACTACGAATACTGAAACAGTCTTTCTGAAACCATGTATGCAATTCAAACCAGTCTCCTTCAACGTTCGCACACTAAATCAGATCGGGCAACAGGTGGGGTTGGCTGTCTTTAGAAAGTTTTAATATCGGCGTCTGATATCTATCCAAGACCCTTATTCAAGACTCTGGTGAAGTACTACAAGTTCACTTTCCATCTGTCACTTCGAAGAGCTTGCTTCACGTGCGTTTATCTGGGGGCCCTATGGGATCTTCGTCTGGTCTTGCTGGCGTTGGTGTCTCACCAAGCGCTAGATCTGAGGCAGCACTGAATGATTGGATTTCCATTGACAGTCGGTTATGTCCTATTAAATTAGAAAGCTCCATCAAAGTGAGCAGAAATCGGTATGAGAAATGATGTGCTTCCGACATATTGCAATCCGAATGCGATCAAGGATAAGTCCTACCACCTGTTGAGTGTTGTTCTACAGAAAATACATCCGACAGATATTGTAGTACCAATGGGAAACTTGAAGGCACAGATGAGGTGTCTATGCACGGAAGAGAGTCGTTTAGTTGGCCGATGAGGACTTGTTGATCGCAGGTCAGATAACGGTGACCATCTTCTGCAACTGTGCGCAGACCACAACCTATTTCCGGCTAGCGTTAACTACTGGTATAGTCATCGCCGATGTGCAACTTGGCGTCCTCCTTCCGGATTTAAAACCTGGACTCAGATTGATCACATCGCGATCAGCTATCGTTGGTGTGGCTGTGTACACGACTGCAGTCAGTCTGTCTGTTGCCGCTTATAAGCACTAGGTTTTTTTGGGCACCTTACAGCTTTCTGAAGCCAGTCGGTTTACTCCGGGTGACCATGAGTTTGACCACAAACGAAGGATGTTACGTAATGAAATTGGGCAAAGCTTGCGTAAGAACCAAGAAGCCTGGTGGTCGGAGTGTGCCAATGAGTTTGAAGCAGCAATTGCATCTGGTAACTGTCGGAAGTTCTTTCAACTCATCCGATTCACCGGCAACAAGAAGTCTGGTGTGAGCCAAATAAACTGTAAATATGAAGGGATGCCAATCACTAACATCTATCGACATCTTGGACGATGGGCAGAGTTTCTTAGGGAGCAGTTCAACTGGTCTACTGTTCCGGCAACATCGATCAGACTGTCCTGCCGTCCATGGAAGGCGGAAGTCCATAAGGAACTCCAACTCTTGAGCGCTACAAATCACCGGGCTCAGAGGACTCACCCCCTTCCATTTTTAAAGATGGTAGTGACTTTCTGGCTAAGGAACTGACGACCTTGTTTACAAAGGTTTGGGAATTAGAGAGTGTACCATCGTCATGGAATGAGTCCACGTCTTGGACGATGGGCAGAATTTTTCGAAGGGCAGTTCAACTGGCCTGCTGCTCCGGCAACATCGCTCAGACTGTCCTGCCCTCCATGGCCGGTGACGACTGATCCACCAAACGAGGAGGAAGTTCGCAAGGAACTCCAACTCTTGAAGCGTTACAAATCACCTGGCCCAGATGACTTACCTCCGGCTCTTTTTAAAGATGGTGGTGACTTTTTGACTAAGAAATTGACGACGTTGTTTACAAAGGTTTGGGAACTAGAGTGTGTACCAACGTAATGGAATGAGTCGATAGTTGTCCCTATCTTTAAAAGGGGTTTACTTCGTTCCTGTAACGACTATCGGGGAATAAGTCTATTTCCGATTGCATTCAAGCTATTGGCTTCCGTCATACTTCGTAGGTTGTTCAAAACCCGAGAATGATTGACTCGCGAGGAGCAGGCTGGGTTTCGTTCTGGTCGAGGATGTATTGATCATATCTTCACCCTCCGCCAAATGTTAGAACACCGCCATACTTATCAAAAGCCAACAATCGTAGTGTTTCTTGACAGTAGGGTCGGCTTTGATTCATTGAAAAGGACTGTCCTCTGGGATTGTCTTTTAAAGAAGCGTGTGCCTGAGAAGCTTATTAACATCCTCCAAGCCCTATATACAAACACTTCAAGCAGAGTGAGGGCATACAACCAACTATCGCCATTGTTCCATTCGAGCAGTGGGGTTAGGCATGGTTGCCCGATCTCACCATTCCTCTTCAACTTTGCCATCGATGACATTCTGGAAACAGTTCTGATGGATCTAAGTAATGGCGGTGTGGATCAGTTGCCTGGAAAAGACTTATTGACCTTGAGTATGCGGATGATGTTGTCTTTCTGTGCGACAATGCCCAAGGCATGCAATCCGCACTTAATCAGTTGGTAATCAGTGTCCATAGGTATGATATGTGCTTTGCACCTTCGAAGTGCAAAGTACTTCTACAAGACTGGCAGGATTCTAATCCTGTACTCACCCTGGATGGTGAACAGATAGAAGTAGTCGAGAAGTTCGTGTATCTGAGTAGCTGCATAAGTGCTGGTGATGGCGTGAGTGATGAGATCGATTCACGTATAATGAAAGCCAGAGCGGCTTATGCCAATCTGGTCCATCTTTGGCGCCTTCTTGATGTCAGTCTGGCTGTAAAAGGTCGGATCTACAACGCGTCGATGATAGCAGTTTTGCTCCATGCTTGTGAAACCTGGCTTCTCCGAGTTGAGGATGTTAGACGACTCCCTGTGTTTGATTATCGTTGTCTCCGAAGGATTGCTAACATCCAGTGGCAGCACCATGTTAGTAATGCAGAGGTTCGGCATCGTGTGTTCGGGTGCGGAGACGATAGTCCAATTGGTGTCACCATCTTGAAACATCGACTTTGGCGGCTTGGACATGTCCTACGAATGTCGTCCTAGAGAATTCCTCATCGTGCATTACTTGCCGACGCTGGGACTGGTTGGAAAAAGCGGAGAGGTGGTCAGTTTATGACATAGTGTCGTGGTATGAAGGAAAGCTGCAAAGGGCTGCCTTGTGTTGGTCTTTCATTACTCGTTGGCTGGGGGTCCGAGAGATGGTGCTACACAGTGGCTAGAGACGTTACTAGATATGGCCCAGAATAGAAGCCAGTGGCGATTCTGCTGTAACCTTCTTTTACGTTTTTCGTAAAAAGTGGTTGTATGTTCCTTAACTGAAAGATATCTTATGATTGTTTTTTGCTAGCTGAACTACATCTTTCATTATCATTATTTCACTCTCATACACTAATTTCTGTTCGTTGTTGTTCACCTTTTATTTATATGCATTTTACATTCTCTACTTCTTCACGGCCTCATTGTTATTGTGTGGCACATATGTATTTGGTTCCCCTTTGAACCAATATTTATGTTTTCAAATAAGAAAATGTGAACCTGGAATTTTGTGGTTTTAATTTAGCTGGTCGTAGCCCAATTTACGTTGTGCCTCACAAAGTAATGTCAGACTTCAAAGATTCGTTTATATAAGCAATTTTTTGTATTCTCCCTCCCCTAACTCCTAATTTTGTGACCACTAAGGTTTTGCGTAAACTGTTTGATGGCTGACATCCGCAACTCATGAACGTAGATTGTCCATTACTAATGTAAAGTAATAGATTTCTTTCCATCCGTCTACCAGACATATATGATGTCTGGATGCATACAATTAGATACAAATTTAAAGAAGGATGGATAAATTTCAATAAATGGTAATCTGTAGAAGACATTGTTTTTGTGTTTTGTCCACACTCATTTTGGGAGTTAGCTTGACTAGATTAAACTTCTTATCGATTGTCTAAATAACCTGGAGTCATTTTACCATTAGTCTTAATCTCAAAATACTACTATCCTACGACACTGAATCCAATGTTTCTTTTCGGATTTGTATCTTAACCTTACATTATGGGTGAAGTTAGAAGTGTTGTTTATTACCAATTAAGCTTTTGACACGTTAATTCATCTAGACATAGATGAAAGTCAATTATTTATCACACAGTGAGTTCCCCGTCTCTCTTGTCAGATAATGGTGATTGTCTTCTGGAACTTTATGCAAATATTAGCTTTTGCCTGGGAACAATTTTTTGCATACCAACTGCTTATATGCTACCTGACGTTCTTCCTTGACTTCAGGCTTGCACACAAGTAGGCCTATACTATGGTACTCAAGGTTGGCATTAATGTATACATAAAGCAAAATGTTTGCATAATTTTTCTTTACTCTGTCAGTGATATTCCTTGTAAAGGATTTGTACAGTAGAAATGTGTCAATTTATTATCAATTGGTCTGTGTCGTCCATAATTTTTTCATTTTGAATTCTCGTTTATTTATGTTTAAAAATAAATTAGTAATTATATCTGGAAGTAACATGTTTTGTGTTTTCGGACGACAAATGAATGTTCTGCATAAAATCCATTGATTTTATTATGTTCGATGTTTCATTTTTCTAGCAAGTTTCCTTATGTTTATTCCTTACCATAAATATAATCCACTTACCAAGTGCTGGAAACATCATTCAGTTACTTTGAACGTAGTACTAGTCAGAGTTTTGACCTCCTGATCCATTTGTTTAAAGTCTGGTACTAAAATCAATAACCCAACACTTTACTTCATTGGTTGTTCAGAAGTTTTACACTATGTCTTCTGTTCATAAGAAATAAATACGTGTCACTTCCAATTACTTATTTGCAGTTCCATAAGCCGCTTATCCATCTTACTTTTTTACAACCTTGAGTTCAGTTTCGCGATTCTCTTGAGCGATTTTCATAACAAGTTACTATCATGCTATCTTTTATTTTTGGTGATTTTGATTCCGCAATACATCTAGTTCTTATTCTGCTGATGGGAAATTAGGTCATCCTCAGTCAATCTTTAAGTTTGAAGCGTTTGATCACTTATGGGTATGATTGTTCAAAAATCAGATTGGTTAGAGATGTTTTTGTTAATTTTTCTTGACTTTTCTCATTCGTAGTTTTTTCTGGAAAGGCGTTTAATACCTATCAAGCAATTACGTGTCCGCACATAGGCACAATAAGCTCTTCATTTGATTGGATCCCTCAAGCTGTTCCCAGTCATTTGAGCAAATTACTTACGCGTTTACATGGTGCTCCATTTGTGTGGTTCATTGGTCAGTTGGGTAAATTTTTAATGCGTCCATCGTTTAACTTCACTGAAGAATTTAAAATATTCGAAAATCAACATGAGAATCCAGTTGTTGGTATTCATGTCCGACGTACGGATAAAGTGAGTTTGTGTACTCTTATTATACAGTTTTTCATTTTATTTTACTTAACTAGTGTGACGAAATGATTATTTACGGTTAGATTTGTGAGTAAAATTACACATCATTGAATGAAATTACTAATTATAAAACATAACTTATGTCGATGTACAAGTTTCCCTAGCCATATTAAAGATATTTGACTACCGGAAGATTACTTCAATTTCATAAAACAAATCTAATCAGTGGTATACTAGAAAAGATTTAAACAATGTGGAGAGGTACGGTAAGGTAACTTAAATAGTATAGCAAACTGTGAACTGGGTGAAATAACTTTTATTGAGTAATATATCTTATTGGTTTACAGCAAACTGAAATAACAGCCGCATCATGTCAAAATGATAGCGGACAAAAAATATTAATCTGTCAAGTTTATTGACGATTTCTAACGAATTTTGAAATCGTTTGCGAAATGTTTCTTAGATAAAATGATTCATTTATTTGAACACATAAATATTGTTACAAAGGGGCAACGAATACGTATGCGCCATACAAGTCACTGTATTTGTGTGTGAGCTGTAATACTACCCGGTTGCCCAGACCGAAATAGGTGGTTTCCTTAGGAGGCCGCGCCCCGAGCATTCGACTTAAAGGTCTCATCCACAAGGCAGTGGAACAACGTCAGGAGATGCAGTCCCACGGTAGCCGATGGCCATTAGTTGGTTCATACGTCATGAAATGAGAAATCAACTGTAAAGTCATGTAGATAACGAAGTGTTTGCTAATTTTCTCTGCATTTTACATGTATGTGTGATGTTGCAAGGAAATCGATTGAATGGTTAGTAGAATAATTTTTATTATCCTCAACGTCGTGAAGAAGTTTAAACAGCGAATAAACTGAGGTAACAAAATGATTATAATATAGCTTTATGAAATTTCGACAGAATTTTGGAACTGGACGTGATTCTATCTTATTGGCTTCAATCGCTAGTCGTCGCAGTCTACAAGAAAGGACAAAAATAATTTTGTGACAATCGTAGAAGAATTAGTGTAACTAATATAGTGCCTAAAATATCAGCTTCAACTCTTAACCAAGGTTCGGGAAGAGCAAACCTGAAAAAGTTAGTCTCGTTTCATACCTGAACATGGATTTATAGACTGAATACTTACTTTTTGGCAGGTTCTGGAACAAAAAATTACTTTTTAACGTCTGACTATGGTTGTATCCCTTGATATTAAGGCGGTATTCGACGCTGTTGGTCGTGAGTTTGTGTTGGAGTGTCTGTCATTGAAAGGCGTACCAAGGAAGTACATCAAGATTGTTCTGAGTTTCAACCCAAACGCTACTGGTCAAGTCGACTGTGATCAGCACTGATAATTTCAAGTGGTGTTTGTCAGGATTTTCCGCTTTTCTCATTTTTAATTAACTTCATCATAGACGTTCTTTTAGAGATGACGCTCTCATCTAAAGTTTTAGTTATTGATCTTCTACTTGGATATTTATTTGTTGACTTGGAATACGCAGATGGTATAGTTCTGTTTAGTGAAGACTGAAAAAGTACAGTCTCCTAACCGCCTTAAACAATAGTGAGAAATATCGCTCCAGGATTGCTCTGCATCAGCACTTGAATTATTGATAGAGAGTCAAGTAGTTGAGCGACCGCTTCACTAACCTTGAGAGTTTCATGAGTTTTATCCCGACCGTAGCTGCTACCTTGACGCGGTGGTAGGGCTTGCCTATCGTGATGACCAAACCGAGCTATATTGGCTGGAACATATGTTCCAGGCAGGTCGATTGGAGGGCTGGTGTTGTTATTACTTCTATTACTCTGAGATTGATCTTCAAGTAATTTTATCTCACTGTGCTAACGTACTATGTCAACTTAAAGCGATTGATATATGTACTAGGTGCAACATTGTGCTTAGTTGTCTCACCTTCAGATTTTTCTTATTTTACTGAGTAATTCAAGTAAGCAACAATAAACCTTTCGGTCCTAATATTAGGTGGTTAACATTTGACCTACTCGTTGGTAGATACCTTCTCTAGTTCGTGAACAAGTTACTTTTTGTGAACCTTAATGAATATGAAAAAGCACTGTTTCGCCTAATCCTTTCGTGATTAATGTGAATTAATTAACCATTTCGTTTTTTTTTGTACGATTTTAGATAAATACTGAAGCGAGTTTTCATAGTTTAGAAGAATATATGACTGAAGTTGAGAGCTATTTCCAATTCATAGATGCCAAACGTCAAATGATGTCTAGAACTGAAGTAAGTATTTAACCATTAATTTTCATGTATACTGTAACTGTTTTATTGTAACCAAGATTCATCGAGAAATGGCTTCACCTTATCCACTGGCCATCATGTGAATGCATCTGCGAGTAAAGGCTTCGTAATAGTTTTTCTTAGCTAACCATTTTTTTCGAATTCGGACATCACAACAGTGTTTCAGCTCATAAACTAATCATGACCATTGCAAATAAAGTATATGAAATACTCATTTTATAGGCTAACACGCTCAAAGTGATCAATCAATTGTGATTACATCTCAGTCCTACAGGAGGTTAGTCACGACTCGGATAGCTCAGTGGTAACGTCTCTGACTGTGAAGCTGGGTGACACGAGATCGAATCCGCCAGGGAGCACCAGTTCCCTCAAGATTACAGATACACCTTGCTGACGAGTGCCAAGTAGCACGAAACCCGGGTCCAGGGTTTCCTGTTGACTACCTCCAACCACCATCTAAATCTTAATACATAGTGCCCGCAGTGTCGAGTCATCTAGACTGGTGGCCACATTGCAACATGATCGATAGCATTCGATCTGCACTAATAAGGACTAGACAAGCATGACATTGATCACCACTCAGTGATCAGTCAATTGTGAATCCTATTATAGGTCAATAATTACTATCTAAAATTACCTCAAGTCTCTGAGTTGTTTTAGTTCAATAATGTTTATATTTCTTGTTGTGAAGATTCAATCCACTCAGTTCATCACTGTCGTGAATTTTTTCTTTCCGAAACTTTATTGCTCAACAGTAATTACTACTATATATTGGAGTAAAGCCTAATAAGAATCTAGTTAAAATCAGTGTTGTTCAGTTATATTTATTGCTCGCCAAATATATAGACAGAAATTTCAACATTTTAACTAGCAATGGATTAATAAATACGAAGACATAAAACTATTTTATCAAGTTAATGATTATTGATGTACTCTGTATCAGAACTGGTAAAATGTTTCTTAAGTTATAGAAATTCTTTGACATGTGAATATATCTGATAGGGTTTGTAATCAGTCACGTTTTCTGTACATTATGAAACGACCAGTGTTTCCAGTGTTGGTTGACTTCTGATATTTTTATCTTGTATTTTTTATACAAAATCTTCTTGTTATGTAATCTAGTAATTTTTAATTTGGTATAAAATAAGTTTCATAAATTCTTTCGATTAGGAGTGGAAAAATGACATCAAATCACCGTTTCGTCATAATGTATATCACCAATTGAAACCAGTACAACGACGTGTATATATAGCTACAGACGACCCTAGTGTATTTGATGAAGCTAAATCAAAGTATCCCAGCTATATATTTTATGGTAGTCGTGCACGTGCTAATTCAGCTTCTCTCTTAACACGAAAAAATGAAGATTCGATTATGGGTGTGGTAACTGACGTGTTCGCTTTATCAAAAACGAATTATTTAGTTTGCACTTTTTCTTCACGGGTAAGTTAAATTTCTTGTTTTGATGATGATCATGCCAACTTGTCTATGATGTGAAATTCGAACCAGCTTTGTTTGAATGCCGATCATTTCTTGATCCTACGTTGATCATAACTGACTTAACTTCATAACCTTCGAGTTAGACTTTAATTTTATGATGTTGCGAGCTGATAATTGTCTGAGTAATATAGATTTATGTATAAAGTTGATAAAAATCGGTTTGTTAAGCGATGTTTCATTCTAAGTAAATTCGAGATAAAATGTTGACTATCCTAGTGATTTGAAATCGAAATACTACAGAACGTCTTTGAATATGTATTCGAAATGTTAACTTGATAGATAAATGGGATTCGCTTGGATTCGGAAATTACTACTTCCTAATTTCATTCAGTGTTACAACTTCTAATACATTTTGACATGTATGCATTTAGTTTCTAATGTGTCAGTCAAAATAAACAGATTTTACTGCCTAGTTATTTTGGACCTATCAGATCGGACTATAGGGCAGTAGAACAGTTGTACTGATCTAGTCCGAGCATCAACTAGTTCGCCTAAACTATAAATCTAGTACTAATAACCGTCAGCTAACCATTGATATACTGAACGTGAGATAACATCCAAGAGTAACTAGTTAATTATTAGCCCAGAACTCAGTTTCCCATGCTTGCTTGCCTGATAACCAAAATGGAGAACAACTCAACAACCAGATAGTATCTGATTATATGTTTCGAATCTATGAATACTTCTTATAATATTGTAGAGCGAAATCGTGACCACACGTTAATAGAGTTAATGAATTACAATATGGGCATAACTGTGCCATAAATGGATGAGAAATGAGTGGTAGGTCCTACATAAATTAATTTTGATATAGGAAAGACGAGACAATTCCTGTAGCAAACAAAATCTTACATGTGGGGAATACAAAAATGTGACGGTTAAACTATTTAAGAATTATACAACAAAAATGTCAACAATAACTTCATATAGGGTCGTTCCGAAAGTTCTCTTTCATTTTATATTTATCCCGATATAGCAGTTTCATTGTAACTCACGATCTCTTGTTGGTTACTCCCACTGAACTGATTATTCATTGTTGATTTATAAGTTGTTTTTATAAATATCTTCACATTTTCTATGGAAGTTTTATTTGGTGAAGACGCTGACAAAATGCAGAGTCTTCTGACCACTCTAAGCAACAATGCAAGCATGTTCGGGATGCGATTCTCTCCCTCGAAATGCCAAATGTTGCTTCAGGATTGGGTTACATCGACACCCGAACTAGTGATAGGGAGTGAAGTAGTTGAGTGTGTCGACCGTTTCACTTATCTTGGAAGTCTCATCAGCCCTTGTGGTCTGGTGTGTGACGAAATCTCAGCACGGATACAGAAGGCTCGACTAGCTTTTGCCAACTTGCGTCATTTATGGCGTAGGCGAGATATCCGTCTACCAACCAAAGGACGTGTTTACTGCGCAGCAGTTCGTTCCGTCCTACTTTATGGCTGTGAAACATGGCCGGTAAGAGTAGAGGATATTCGTAGGTTACTAGTATTTGATCATAGGTGTCTTCGAAGTATTGCTCGTATATCCTGGGACCATCGAGTAAGTAACGCAGCTGTTAGGAAACGGGTACTAGGTAAGGGTGGCAAATCAATTGATGAAGTAGTGAAACTTCATCAGTTGAGATGGCTGGGACACGTGTTACGTATGCCCAACCACCGACTACCTCGACGTGCTATATTCAGTGGTATAGAAGTAGGTTGGAAGAAAGCTAGGGGCGGCCAGACGAAAACATGGCACAAATCCATGAAGTCACTGACAAGTGGTCTGAGTCATGTCGGTAGGTGTAGACTACCTGGTTGGGGACCGCGAGATGATAGCAACCGATGGTTAGAGACCCTGAATGACATGGCTCAAAATCGTTTGCAATGGCGCAGGTGCATCCACTCTCTATGTTCTCCCAAATTCTAATTATCTGAATTCTTCATGCCCCCTTTTTTTTCCTCTTTCCAAATTTATTTCACTGGATTATACTCGTTAAATAACATCTCCAAACCCTAATCTTCCCGATTACTGCTTATACTCTGGCTACCTCTACCACTACGGGATTTGAATTGACTACTGCATCTCTGTGCTAATGTGGTATGGCAACTCGAACTGATGTACGTACGTACGAAGTTCTACGTTGTTACTGACTGACTGACTGACTCTATGGAAGTTTATAAGCTAGAGAATCAACATGTAGTGGTTTCATACTGACGAAAAGTACCAAAGGTAAATTCCAAAGCTTGTTTACCTCGTATTGTAAATAGTCGATTAGCCCCAGACAAGATAAATGCAAAGTAATGAATTTCATTATTAGCCATTTATCTGTATATTATCAACAGTCATTTTTGTAACTATCCTTCCATTAATATTCTTGCTTTGTTCGTTTGTACTATTTAAACTTGGGTTAATTTAATTTGGTTATTTATTCTCTAAAGAATTGTCTTACACTGAGTCACGAAACTTCAGAAATTTAAAAACCCTATTTTTTTCTTACTCATAAGGATATTACAAATATATTATTTTTATTAATAACAATCTACTCAATCCTCAATTCATTTCATGTGATCAAATCAAACCATGGTATTGACACCTATCCTCATTTCGTTCATTTATTTTAATAGTTTAACTTTAAGTTCCTTTCGATTTTATTCTATTTATTCTTGTAACAGGTTTGTCGATTAGCTTACGAATTGATGCAGTCTAATCATTTAGAATTAGGTGATGCAAGTCAACAATTTCGTTCATTGGATGATATATATTACTTCGCTGGACATCAAGCCTCACCATATGAAGTATTAATATCAAGCAAAGAACAGGATTTATCTCCTGGTGATTTAGTCCACTACCATGGTAACCATTGGGATGGTTACGCAAAGGTTGAAAAATTGAATACTAATCGTAAAGTAATGGCACCAGCATTTAAATTCTCTTCAAGATTATTAACTGCTCCTATGATCGGTGCACATGGAAATCGGTCCGAATTTATTATTGATTATAAATAATTGTATTTTTCTAAATAGGAAGATTATTTCTTTTATCTTTTTCTTCTTTCCTTTGTACCACTAACTTACTGATTTATGGTTTTATATTTGAAAGACATCGAACCTTATTTTTTTTATTGTAGTGTCGATGCTCTCAGCTAAAGACTTTACAGATCAAGTTGAAATTGATCTACATATGGCTTTTCTTACTTCATTGTATACAAGGAAATTTTTATACACATATCTTGTGGTCTTGATATGATATATATTGACTGCACAATTGTATGATTGGTGTTTGTTTGTTGTTTTATAGTGTGTCGTGTATTCCATGTGTTGTAGTGTAGTGTGGTGAGTAGTTTGTAAAATATGACATGTCAGATGAGTAAGTTATTGTTTGGTACTTTAGATAGTGATGTGGAGTACCAACAACATATAGCCTTTTATTTTTGGAAAGATGCTTGAATGCAAATATCACCAAGTTCCACTGGTGGAATCCAGTCAGTAATTATTTGACATTAAATACGAAAAACATGTATTTGTTAAATGTCAGCGAATGAATTTGAAGTAATAGATGGAACGTTTCGCCTGACAATCTGGTCCAATCATTTCAAGGAAATATAATCAAATCTATCAAATAGAAATAAGTACATAGTTCTCTGGTGTATTCGTACGTGGTATGAGAAGAGATCTCATTTACTATATATTATTGCCTGTGATCGTTGAATTCTTAAGAAACACATAGAATTTATATATATATATATATATATATATATGATATAAATCAAAAATGTCACAACATGCATAAAATGAAAGGAGGCACCATTTATTATTTTAACACATATATTGGTACAAGGAGGCACCAAATACATATGCGCCACACAAATATCATTTGACATGTATGAGGGCTGTGATACTGCCCGGGTGCCCAAACCGAAGCAGGTGGTTTTCTTAGGGGACAACACCCGAAGCCTTCGACCTGAGGGTCTGATCCACAAGGCAGTGGAGCATCGTAAGGAGATGCAGTCCCATGGTAGCCAGTGACCAACGATTGGTTCATACGCCATTTGTTCCCGCAGGGTACTGGAGCCCATGTGCAATATTGGTTTGGAATCCGGTTAAAGCGCCGGACATTCGCTTTTCGTCCTCTCGTTTTCGTAAACAACAGTAATGCCACGAGAAGACAGTGAGTAGGACTTCCCTGGCAGAGACTATATACGCGTGACCATGTGAGAGCATTTCCTTTTTTTATCTTGATCGATTGTGACGATAAATTTTGAATGATGCCTAGTTAGATGTTAGGAGTTCGGTAATCCACATTTGATTAATGTTCATTCGTTTCAATGCATATTGCCAGCCACCGTGATGTCGCCGATTGTACCTTTTTGTATCCCTTATAGCGAAAGGTTGTAAACTTTTCATAAACGCGCCTGAATAGATTGTGTGCACAATAGACATAATGATGTGCTAAAACAAACAACAAAACAGATAACTTGATGAAATATGTAGATCGGAGGAACAGGAAGCCCAGATATTCAAGCAGGCCGCCTATATATGCCCATATATGTAGGGCTTCGACTACTAGTCTTTCTTTGTAAGAATTAAAACCTTTTCAAAGGATTGTGTCATTGAAATCAACTGTATGACCCTATTCTATTAAGTGTAATACTATCGCTAATTTGTTTACAAGTTTATTAAATAAACTTTTACAAAAACAAAAAATTTCATATAAATACGATTGTATAGCTTGATAATAAATTCGTTGAAAAGAGATCCCTTCGCATCCAACTTTTAAAAATAGCCGAAGCTCTTACCATCCAGGAGCTTAAACCAAAACTATGCGTACAAATGAAGTACGTCTTATCGTAATAGTAAATTTTAGTCAATTTCAATATAGTGAAAATTCTAATTTACTCGTTAGGTTACTAAATTTATGAGAATATTTATTAGTGAATCTAATTACTAAGATGAATGTGATTAAAGGTCATAGAGAAGTAAACACAATGAAGAAAATTAACTTATTTATGATCAAAATACTGACATTATAAAACAAGTTGAAACCATCATTCTTGAAATAATTCATGTGATTAAAAGGTCATATAGTAAGTGTTAAAAGAAATAAGAATTTTATCCGTTTCATGAATACAACAAAACAAGAATTTCATATTCTTGTTTTATATTAAAAGTACCTGAAACCCTTGAACTGAGCGTACGTAAGAAGTACGTCCGATTGTCAACTAAGCCAACATTGTTATACATAACTACTGATTATATCAACGTATATCATTTGCACAGTTATATAACTATGAATTATTGTTACAATGTAATTGTAGCAGTAATAAAAATTTTCATAAAATATTCAAAAATAATTTAGCGAACAATGATGGTTATCTGACTCATATTGCAGTTGAAAATTATTTCCCAATGCAATTGAGTCAGCCAAGCATGAAGAATGCAGTGATAGGGTTAGTCAGACGAATGTCGAAGGAACAATGCAGTTCACTTCATAGTTCACGGTAGACTACCAACAACGCCAGTAAACTTGCATGGAGAACAGCATTCGTACACCCTTTCAAGAACCTCGACTAACGTAGCAGTGCCGTTTATACAACGAGGAACTGTTGATTTGGATGAAACGCTCAGTAACGATGAGGAGGAAGTAATTTGTATTAACTACGAAGAGTTAACTGAACGGGACATCGAAAATGAAGAAGAGGATGACGAGAATCGACTCTGCGACATCTGTAATCTTGCGCAGCCTCCGTGTGAAACCGGTGATGCGGTTGGTTGAGTTTTCTGTAGATGTGAAGCAATGTTCCATACCTTCTGTGCCTACGACCCATCGCCGAACGTACGAGCAGTGCACTGTCCTATCTGTGGCGCCATTACAAACTAATAGTGACGACGTCCGACCGCGAGAACGAGTAAACGCCTTTTTCAGGACCACGCACAATTTGATTTTCATTATTTTTTATCCACTACTTTTCTGCGGCAAAGGTCAAGTGATTATGCACTTATTAATGTCTCATGAATTTTGATATCCCTTAGAGATTAATAATGGAAAAGCGATTATCGCTCATGTATTCGTAAACTGGTTTCTAACGTTTATGAGATATAAAGGTTAAGAAAACTTAAACAAGATTTTGTCATCTAATGAAGACTAATCTAGTAATTTTATATTTAAAATATTGTGATTAATGTTCATGTTTTAGTAACACTTTTGTAAACGATCTAATAATAGTACATTTTAGTCAATTTCAATATTCAATATAGTGAAAATTGTAATTTTGTCGTTAGGTTACTAAATTTATGAGAATATTTATTAGTGAATCTAATTACTAAGATGAATGTGATTAAAGCTCATAGAGAAGTAAACACAATGAAGAAAATTAACTTATTTATGATCAAAATACTGACATTATAAAACAAGTTGAAACCATCATTATTGAAATAATTCATGTGATTAAAAGGTCATATAGTACGTGTTAAAAGAAATAAGAATATAATCCGTTTCATGAATACAAAAAACAAGAATTTCATATTCTTGTTTTATATTAAAAGTACCTGAAACCCTTGAACTGAGCGTACGTAAGAAGTACGTCCGATTGTCAACTAAGCCAACATTGTTATACATAACTACTGATTATATCAACGTATATCATTTGCACAGTTATATAACTATGAATTATTGTTACAATGTAATTGTAGCAGTCATAAAAATTCTCATAAAATATTCAAAAATAAAAAAATAATTTAGCGAACAATCGTTTTTACTAACTTCATCATCACACTATACAGTTATAAGTTCATAATTTTAATATTTTATAAAGTCCAAAAATAAGGCATGGTATTAATGAATTTGACAATGTAATGTGTTGAAATCATGATTCAGTTGAAGCTAGACCACCATTGAAAACCTGGAAGCACTGGACGGCCGTTTCGTCCTAGTATGGGACTCCTCAGCAGTGCGCATCCACGATCCCGCACCACGCGGGGCTCGAACCCCTAGCTTCAACTGACTCATGATTTCAACTTGTGAAATTTCCTAAAATTCTTCACAAAACTCATTCTAATGTAATATGTTAACATTGGTGAACGTTTACATCTGTTACGATATATATATTTATATATATACTTACAAATTGTAATATTTGCAGATTAGAAAGGTCATTCAATAATGGTCTGGATTATTTGCAGTAAAGTGTTCAGTCACAATAAGTGGAAGAGCATTATAGGAAAATTTAAAATGCAAAACATTTTGTGTCAATGAAATAATACATAATATGAGAATTGAATCTTGTCAATTGACATAATAATCATAATCATAAGGACAATAGATAATAATAACCAATTGTAAATATTCATTGATACAGTTGACCTTATTCATATTTATACGTTGAATGTCGATAGATATTTGTTGAGTCAGTCAGTCAGTCAGACGACGTAGGCTTATTCATTTACACTTCATGAAACTGATATTTCAAATGCTGCTTGTCAAAAATGGTTACATTCGTTATGTCTAGATCTAGTTCAGGTTTCATATTACGGCGGTTAACAATCTTCACACATGACTGATGAAACACACTAGTTTTGATTACGACCAAAAAAATTAATTTTAAAACACAGAACTACAAATAATTTACAAGTGAAAACAATAAACCGTGTTTCAATGGATTTCCAAATTAACCACATTTAAATCTAACGTCTATCTAATTCTCATTAGGAAGGAACATTTACAAAATAATCGTTTACTAAATATTAAGTGTCTATTTCGGTTAAATTTATTACTACATTCATATACTGTCAAAGTCAGTTCATTCAATGATGGCCTACGGTTGGTTCACCTGAATTATACATATTGCAATCAGTAATTTATTATGATGATTTATTGATATGTTGATTTATTTCTCCGATTAACAGACCATGTGTTACCAAAAAAAACCTATGCACACACTTTGATGATAGTTTGTTTATTAATTTGGTATTCAACATTAGACTACTGACCTAATTCAGTAATCACTATT